AAACAGTAAGGAGACTGCATTAACATTTTAATAATTCACTGATAAACTAGTGCTTTCTTTGTTCTCGGTTTAAGAGATGAAGTCGGAGACACTGAGACTGACTCGTCATCTCCGCAGTAGTGGATGCGTCTGTATGCATGTTTCACACGGATTACATAATCTGAGAATATTTGTTTTCCATTCGAGTTGATTCATTTGAAAGTAGACATTTCACTCATTTTTAACGTCTGTAAGGCAAAGATATACACAGAGTTTCGCGCTCAAGTTCACAGACCGAGACGGCAGAAAGCACATCATGTTTGCTTTCATTATTTTACAAAAGCGCAATGTTTTGTTGTTAACACAAATAAACGTAGAGTCTTTGCAGATTTGAAAGATGTATTACTCTTATCTGTATGAGCAAAAATGAGGGAGTGTTTTAAGAGCAAGTGAGCGCACCGGCGCCTCCGTCTGTCATGCAGTGAGCGCTAATGTTCAGCTTCTGCACAGACACTTGAACAGCACACATTTCTCTAGGTTAACATTAGTTTGAGCGGCCATGTAAAGTTGCTGCAACTAACATATTTCAGATGATAAGCCATATTTGTGGTGGATGAATGATAGGCGAGTGTTTAAATGTGCTGCTGGATGTACTGTATTACCATAGACCAGCCGTTAACGGTCTGCGTGACTTCGCCAATGTGGATTTTTTTTTTTTTGCAACTAATAAAATTTTGGTCGACCAAGCCTCTTCTGGTCGACTAACGATTAGTCGACTATTAAGGGGCAGCCCTAAAAAAAATGCTGTTTTATATGAAAAGTCACTGACTTTTTGCGACAGGTGAGATACAGCTTACGGCACTTCTCATTCATTCCTAAATGGCTGAAATTCAATGATGTCAGGGCTGTAATGTGGTTGGTTATTAAGGCACACGTGATCCAAGTTAGCCGTTATGCTTTCTCCAATAGTAAGTAATACCCTAGTGCCCACACGGAGGCGCCGTCATCATGCAAAGAATCTGCGCAAGGGATCATGGGGGCCCGAAGTGTCCATCAGTTGTACCCTTCGAAATCCTTCATTCCGAAGGGCCCTTATGGCACTTCCCATTCATTCCTATGGAATCCGTAAACAGAGATTTAGTGTCGCACAACTGACTAAAATTGAATGATGCCAGGGCTGTAATGTGGTTGGTTATTAAGGCACACGTGATCCAAGTTAGCCGTTATGCTTTCTCCAATAGTAAGTAATACCCTAGTGCCCTTCTGCGTCATCATCACGTGCCCACACATCATGCAAAGAATCTGCGCAAACGGATCATGGGGGCCCAAAGTGTCCATCAGTTGTACCCTTCGAAATCCTTCATTCCGAAGGGCCCTTTGAAGTGGCCAGTTTTGAGCACTTCGGTTTGGAACGACCCTTCAATATGGCGGACATGATTGTTTTCACTCCGAAGTGCCCTTCAGAGGGCGATATATTCCGTTTGGAATGCACCAAATCTCTGCCAATGCTCTCTAGTTTTTGCGGTGCATTGTGGGATTTTTCAGGGAGCTAACGTTCCAGTGCACTGAAAGGATTTGGTGATTGAGACAGCCTTTAAAATGGCCTGATCCCTGATCAGTGCCCTGACTACTGGACAAGGGTGCTGATTGAAACGCACCCGGAGATCACAGATCGCACATAAACTTGTTGTCAATGCTTCCCCGCGATTTTATTAATAAAATAGCCTAGATACTAGATCGCTACATTATATCCCTCAGCAACGAGGTGTAAAATTGCTGTTTTTGAAGTAGCCTAATTAATTGTTTGTAGAGAGAGACGCGCAGATGCAGCATGCAGGTAATGCACACACAACTGTCATCTCTCTCTTTTTCTATCTCTCTCTCTCTCGATCAATCAATAATTAATTGAAATAAATGCTCTCATTTATTCAAATAAATGTGATCTTACCTTACTATTTCATCTCTGTCTGATTTGAAGCGGGCAGAATACTAGAGCTAACGTGCTGTAACTGACGAAAATAACTGTAATTTTTACCCATTCGGTCAAATATTGTGCTGCAAAGAGCAATACTAGTTTTAACTTGTCTATAACTTAGCAAATGACCATGGAATAAGTGGGATAATCAAAGGATTGCCGTGCATTAAAGGATTTTTAATGCACTTTGCGTCTGGGCGGTTCTTTGCCTCCATGTCATGCATTTAAAATCCTTTTAATTCACAGCAACCCGTTGATTATCCCTTACTTAAAGGAACATTTCACCTAAAAATGTACTCACCCTCAGGCCATTTGAGATTAGGATGAGCTTGTTTCTTCATCAGATTTGGAGAAATGTGTCATTGCATCAGTGTCTCAGCGATGGATGCTCTGCAGTGAATGGGTGCCGTCAGAATGAGAGTCCAAACAGCTGATAAAAGCATCACAATAATCCACACCACTCCAGTCCATCAGTTAATGTCTTGTGAGGACAAAAGCTGTGTTTGGAACAAATCCATCACCTGAAATCTGTTAACTCTTGTGTTAAATCTCAAATATCTTCAGTTCAACTGCGATTGAGTCACATTTTATGTGCAGTGTGGACAGAAACTTGGTGTAAAGCATTTCTCCTGCTGCCATTAACTGTATAATAACTATAATCAGCAGATCAATTAGTTTTTTATGAGTGATAGTTTGCAAATTTCTTGCTAGGTTTTGTACAGGAGGTGTGCCTCCTGGTCCTGGAGCATATGCTGACATACCACTATGTTGTTTTGGTTTGGGAAGTAGCGTGTCAGAAATAGGAGCAGATATTTGGGCGAGCGGGTCACGCACGTCTTTGAAGGAGAACACGATGCCCTGTCTGCAACGCAACACCAGCGCGCTTAAATTATGCAAGAGCAGACGGAGGCGGCAGTGTACAGTGTCTGCTGCGCCTCTCTGAGTTTGACTTTCCATACGCAAATCCATGCAAACACAGGCATGTCCAGTTCTCCAATCATTAACCTCAGAACACATGCTCTGCTCTGCCACACATGCAGCTGGACGTGACCCGCTGTTATTTCCATGCTCTGGACTGTGTGAATCAGCTGGGAGTTTGAGGAAGGCATGTCAGTGACGCTCTACGCCTTTGGCTGTCAGATGACCTGCTAAAACTTATCACACGCCTACATAAATCACATTCTGATAAGGGTTTCGCCGGCCGCAACCACCAGCTGGAAGAAGCACCAGCAAACATAAACGCTCCCCACTGACTTTGAGCCCCATCACAAACTAACACCGCTGATTGAGCTGATGCTGTCGTGTCCAGTCAGGCTGATCAAACAAACATCCTCTGTTTGGAACCAAACACTATGGACGTATTCCATACCTATGAAGCTATTATCTCAGATATGAGTGCTTCACTTGAGTGTGTCGCTGGGATTCCTGGCTCAGTGAAGTATGATTAATTGCACTCAGATGTTTTGTCTTTGTAAAGGTGTAAATTCCAAAATGGAACTCCGTGACTCTAAATGGAATTAGAATGTTGGTTGCATTTGATTTTACAGTACATGCACTTACAGTATACTTAAAGTACTGAGTAATAGAAGGCATCTAGGAGTAGGTTCAGGGTAATACATATATGTAACCTAGTAAGGTAATCGCAATAGTAAGTAGTCAAGTCTCCTTTATTTCTATGGCTCTTAATACAATACAGATTGTTACAAAGCAGCTTCACCGTAAACTTCTAAAATGAGGCGGATACAAAGAAGAACTGATGCCATAAACCTGGTAAAAAGTGTACATTTTGATCCATGGAAGTTAATTTTCACTGGTTCCTTTTAAGTTTTGTTGTGTGTGTCCAGTGTGTTTCAGACAGTCAGTAAGTGTGCACCATCTGAGGTTGAGATTGAAGTATCTAAACATGCAATACTGACCAGATCAGAGTTTACAACTGAAAACATGCATTTGGACGTTTTTTGTTCTCTTTGTTCTGCCCCATTTCTCCATTGTAAGATGCGTCCTCTCTCTCTTCTCTCAGCGGGGACGACTCGAGAGCACCTGGGTCTGGCCATGGCGCTGAAGGTGCCCATCTTCATTGTGGTGAGTAAGGTGGACCTGTGCGCCAAAGGCACCGTGGAGCGCACCGTCCGACAGCTCGAGCGGATCCTCAAGCAGCCGGGCTGCAACAAAGTGCCCATGCTGGTGTCCTCCACAGACGACGCCGTCACTGCCGCCCAGAAGTTTGCACAATCACCCAGGTACAGAGTGAAACGGAAGACACAGCCGTGATGTTTTCATGATTTGGCTCTGAAGCGCTTCATCAGAATCTGTTGTCTTCCTTGCTCTCCTGCAGCATCACCCCTATCTTCACCCTGTCCAGCGTATCAGGGGAGAGTCTGGATTTGCTGAAGGTCTTCTTTAATATTCTACCTCCCCTCAGCAACAGCAAGGAGCAGGAGGAGCTCATGCAGCAGCTCACCGAGTTTCAGGTACAGCTGTGCACTTCATACAAGGCCCTCATTAACGATCTTGAGTTGTTCTGAAAGGGTTGGCGTGTATGTGAATGAGAAAAGGTGTGGAGAAAAATAGCAAATCAACAGTTCTACAGTTCAACGAAGTTGCTCTTTACAAGTTCTCTGAACATTGTTGATTGAATATTGAATAACATACATTTGAGACCAAATTTGACCAGTTATTTTGTTAACTGTGTATATATATATATATATACACTGTATACATACACTGTGGCCAAAGTCTCAGGCTGTGATACAAATTCAGGAATAAACTTTGTATTAAAAGAGAACTTCACTGCAGGCAGGTTAAAATTTCTCTCCTCCACTTTGATTCGTTTTCATCTGTTTTTCCACACATATTCCTGTCATGAACGTGGATAGGCAAAGATACTGGATTTTGCCGATATGCTGATATTTTTCATCTAATTTTGGCCAATAGCCGTTGCTGATACCATGAAATGTTTCCTTTTGTTTGGAAACAACACTAAAGTCTATCTTGTGCAGAGATTATAAATAAATAGTTTATTGTTAATTTTGGTTAGTTTTGAGCAAAAAATAAAAGTTATTTTTATAATGAGAGTACATTGAAAGCTTTGAAAATGTAATAAAATCAGTCACTGATGTAACCTTGACAAACATTCGATTCAGGGATGACCATGATCTTCTCTCTTTATTTGTCATTTTTCATATCAGACCTATAGCGATGCTTATATTTCATATTATATTTTAAGTCTTTAATGGCCGATTCCGATGACGTTCTGATAATGCTGTGCATCCCTAAGGGCGAAGTATTTTCAGGACTCAGATAATAGCTGGAATTTACTAGAACTTACTTATTATATTTCCATGTTTCTAACCTAGCACTATTGTGTTACTGATTATGAATGATTATCAACCCAAATTGGGTAAAATCATCCCAGCTTCCTTACCAAATAAAGTCTCAACAGCATTTGGTTTGAAAAAAAAAAGTTTTTTTATTTGTTGTTTTTTAGTGCCTGTCTCGTTCATGAGTTTGTGTGTGTTGTGATCCTGTAGGTTGACGAGATCTACACAGTGCCGGATGTGGGGACAGTAGTTGGTGGGACTCTTTACAGGTGCGTCCTCCTCTCTTTCCTCTTGTCTGTGGCGTCCAGTAAGGCGGCATTAGTGTCTAATAGGGGTGTAACGGTACACAAACATGATGTTTGGTATGGTTTCGGTACAGCAGGAGGAAAAAAATAAACATAAAATTGCTTTTTTATTAAACAGTGGTTTACTGAACAAATTTCCTCTTTCTTTAAATAAAATTTAATTATAATTAAAAATCTACCCAAGCTTATGCTTTATCTAAACTATAGGGAGCCCTACATTACTATAAGGTTACAATTAACAACAGAGCCCAAATAGTAATGTACTATTTATTTGTAACTGTAATAATAATCAACACTCAACTTTAAAAATTGTATGCAAACATGTAAATTGCACATAATGCAGTTATTAAATTAAATTATTTGTTGTTGAAATATATTCATTTACACAGTTGCTGTCAATAACTTGTTTCACAACAGATTTATTTAAAAAAATGCATTAAATAATTAAGACATCACGAACAGGTAAAGTAAAATAAATTGAGTAAATAGTCTAATATTTCACGAAATGCTGTTCTCTAGACTTCATTTCTCTGGTGAGCTAACGAGCGTTGACTGGTGATTTGCCTGAGGTAAATGAAATGCTACGTGACATTTTGTTTTGACGTCTTTCCTCGGTCGAAACACTGATTGAGCAATTACATGGGGCATGAGATGTTCATTCGTGTTTATTTTGCATTAAAAATAGTAGAGTTGACCTCGAATAGTCAACGATTCGATGCTTTGATAGGAGGAGCCTGATTCGACTACCAATCTCACAGTCTCTTATTCGCAGAGGTGTTATGATCATGCCATTTTGGGTATATGGGGGTGTTCAAATGTCTGATTTCACATAGAACTACTGGTTTTCTCCCAAAGTTAATATACAGCCTATAAAATAATGATGTAAATAAGAATTTGAAAAGAAAGAAGTTTTAAATAAATATTTTAACGTGTGAATAAATCCAACCACCCTATAGATTTAAGTTTCACTTTCTATAATCCGTGACAACTGAGGGACATCTTGGCGGCAGGGATTTAAAACGTTTATCAAGACTCAAATTGACACAGGCAGAGTGAGAGACTGGATGTTTTCGATCAGATAGGGTACAAGTGATTTCAAAACATTTCAGCCGGTTTATATATATCGTGTATATATTATTTATCTCGTATAAGATGCATTTGGTTGAGTTGCGCTGCAGTAAAGCGCTTCATTGTAGTACAACAGTGATTATCTCTTCAGCACGAGCAGGACAAACAACAATGCAGAATAATAATAACTATGACTGGGACTGCCATATACATAACGTTATAATGAGAACACTATTATAATAAAACACTGTGAATTTTTAGAGTTTAGTTGCCGTGTTTCTGCATGTTGTTGCGTGAAGAATGCGTCCACAAAAGGAGTTCATTCAGAGCCCCGCAGACATGTTCATGTGCATTCAAGGCATTTTGTGCAGATAGCCTATAAGTCTTAATATTAACGTTATGTTGTATAAATAACGAAGTGTATTCTATATGAGAGAAATTATGAGTTAAAGGGTTAGTTCACCCAAAAATGAAGATTCTGTTGTAGCGAATTTAGCTCACAACAGGAAATATGAATAATTAACCATAACTAGTTATGATTAATTATTAATATTTTAGATCCGCTGTAGATATTTAGCTGACCACTCAGGGTCAACTGTCTTGTCAATTCTAAGAACGTTAATTTCCTGGTTAAGGGAAATAACTTTCTTACTGTACAATTCTATAAGCTTGTAACGTAAATCTGCATGATTATTGACTCCGGTTATGAGTAAACAATGAACACGTCAAGTGTGATACAAGTAAGGTTTTATTAACTACATAAACACTTAAACTAGTCTAACATACTACACAAACACAT